ACCTCCTCTCCTAGGTTCATGAAACGGTCGTCCATAAAATGCATTGCTGTTCTGTTGTAAGTAATCTTAAAGATTCCTAAATGCATCTACTTTCGGAAGGCCAAATAAAGTGCTTTTGCTTTCGCACTGAAACACACAGCGTCTCCCTGACATGGCTGCTTCAACACTAACTGCGGTTACTGAAACCATGCCTTCTTTCTTTGCGTGAACATTTGGGCAGCATTATGCTAATATTTCCACATAGTGAGGTAGATATGTGGGGGCGTGTTAGAACGAGCCGTTTTAGGGGGGCGTGGCAGAGTCTTAACTTTGATAAAGAATATCTCTTTGGTTTTGAGACTTTAGTCTGCAACTTTAGGGATCTTATCTATGCACAATCAGCTTGTAACACTCCAAAGAGAAAGGAAAATTTAAAAACGCATCATATGACCCCTTTAAAGGGTTACTCCACCCCAAAATGAAAATGTTGTCATTAATCACTTACCCTCATGTCGTTCCAAACCTGTAAAAGCTTAGTTCGTCTTCGGAACACAATTTAAGGATGAAATTTGGATGAAAATCGGGAGGCTTGTGACTGTCCCATTGACTGCCAAGTAAATAACCTTGTGGCATGGCTGACACAGAACAACGTACGCTATTTGCGTCCAGCGGATATTCTCCAAAATGGCGCTACGTTGACGTAGAGGAGACGAAAATGTTCTCATCGCTTCATTAAATTCAGATTGAACCACTGATGTCAGATGGACTATTCTGACGATGTCTTTCATACTTTTCTGGGCCTTGACAGTGTAATTTACTTGGCAGTCAATGGGACAGTCACAAGCCTCCCGGTTTTCATCCAAAATATCTTAAATTGTGTTCCGAAGACGAACTAAGCTTGTACGGGTTTGGAACGACATAAACATGTTAATGATATTTACATGAATAATTTAATTTAACCCTTTAAAGGGATAGTTCACCCAAAAATGAAAATGTTATGTTTATCTGCTTACCCCCAGGGCATCTAAGATGTAGGTGACTTTGTTTCTTCAGTAGAACACAAATTATGATTTTTAAGTCCAGCCGTTGCAGTCTATCAGTCGTATAATGCATGGCAATGGTAACAAAATCTATGAGAGTAAAAAAACATGCACAGACAAATCCAAGTTAAACCCTGCGGCTCGTGACGACACATTGATGTCCTAAGACACGAAACGATCTGTCCTGTGCTTTTCCAGCTCCCAGAAGTCTCAGCATGTTTTTGGCGCCCTCGGCCATGGCATGTTCAACACGGTAATGATGCCAGAGCTCCTCGATACGGAGCTCCACCCCACACAGATCCGGCTTACCTGCAGAGACACACACACATGCATTAGATCCCGCTGGGTGATGCTATTAATAGAAACACACTATCACAAGACCTCCGTCACTGAGTGAAAATCTGTAATGAGCCTGTGTTTGATTTATGATTGTAATTAGGACTATTTAACAACTGATACAACTTTAAATGAAAACCAGAAATGTTGCTGTGGCAACTAATTGAAATAAAATAAATTTAAGTTGAAGAACAAAACTGACTACAACTGGAAATGAAACTAACTGAAATAAAACTTTAAAAAAACATTAAAATAATCAAAAACACACAACAAAATTACTAAAACTTACACTAAAATTAAAATAAACATTATTTGACAATAAATAAAATAAAAAGTAAACCTATTTTCTTTCAGTTAGTAGCCACAGGAACATTTCTGATTTTCATTTAGTTTAAGTTGAAGAATTAAAATGTGTAAAACTGTAAACTAAAATGAAACATTAAAAATAAACTAAATCTAAGATTAAGTTAAAAATAAGAAACTAAAACCTAAACTAAGATTAAAATAAAAACTGTATATATATATATATATATATATATATATATATATATATATAAAAAAAAAAAAA